CCTGAAGCCCTTCCAGTGGCTGCCTAAGTAACATGTGCTTTATATTTCAAAACTCCAAGTGCTATGTGCTAAAAGAAGCAAAGTGAAAAACTACAGGGTGTTTAAGGAGGTCGTTCGAAATACTGTAGCGTTCTTGTTCGAACGCTGAAAGCCTCCGTAATGAGTCTTTCAGTTTAACAACTAAAATTAATAATTATGAAAAAAGCAATTTTGTACACTAGAGTAGGAAAACTACACAACAAAAGAAACGCAGAGGAATTGGTAAGGCAAGAAAACGAACTTCGGAAGTACTGCGAAAAAAATGAATTAGAAATAATTAAGATAATTCACGAATATGCAGACGGCAAAGATTTTAATCGATTGCATTTCACAAGTCTTTATCTAGACCTTCTTAACGATAGAGTGAAAGCGGATTATCTACTATTTACGGATGTTAATGTGTTTTGCGAAAACATTGCTGAAGTTCTTAGAGTGCATCACAACCTGTTGAAGTTTGGTGTTACAACTAAAGCAATCACTAATATAAACGTAGTTTTTGTAGGAATTAAAAAAGATTAAAATGGAAAAGCAAGGAAAAATTATAACTCTAAATCCTAGTAAGGAAAATCTTACCTCGGAAAAACTCAAAACATTTCAGGGATGCGAAAATCTCAGCGAGGCAGAAGCTAATGATACGGTATTCGCCATTTATACTTTAGCAAATATTCTACATGAATTTGTATCTCAACAATCATTATCCACTCAAAAAATAGCAGCATGAAAACAGACGCATTATTAACAGCTAAATTCGGTCGCTTGCCAATGAAGCAAGTACTTGAAAAAATAGATAAACCAAACGTAATAATATACACTCGTGTTTCGAGTAAAGAACAAGCAGATAAAAATCTCTCATTAGAGACGCAGCGGAAAACCATTCAAGATTATATAGACCGATCCGGACGCAACGTTGTAGGCTTCTTTGGTGGAACTTATGAAAGTGCGAAAACGGACGGACGAAAAGAATTTCTGAGAATGATTGATTTCATCAAAAAGAACAAGGGTAAGGTAAACGAGATAATGGTTTACGCGCTTGATCGTTTTAGCAGAACCGGAGGTGCAGCAATTAAATTAGCAACCGACCTTCGCGAAAAATACGGCGTAATAATAAACGCGGTGACCCAACCTGTAGATACATCTAATCCTAGTGGGGTTCTAAGTCAGGGAATGCACCTCTTATTTTCTGAATTTGACAACAAGCTGAGAAGCCAGCGCGTTATAGCCGGACTGAAAGCAAAATTTGAAAAAGGTATTTGGGCAGTAAATGCACCGCAAGGGTATGATTCGGTAATCATAAATGGCGAACGAAAGCTAGTTGTAAATGATGAAGGAAAGATTATCGTGAAAGCGTTTCAATGGAAAATCGACGGCATAAAAAATATT